GCAGCAGCAACTGCTGCGGCGGCAGCGGCTGCTGCCGCGGTATTACTGCTGATAGTACTGCTGCTATTGTTGGTTGTAGTTGTGGCCGGTATCGGTGCAACTGCTGACGCATGAGCTGTCTGAAATTCTTCCTTAGTCAGTGACTTAAAATGAGAATGAAACAGGAGAGAAAGACTGCCAATAACTGACAATGCCATGGCTTACACACGTAAAATAGAAGTGGAAAAAAAAAGGGAAAAAAATTTTTTTTTTTAATGAGGCTTCAAATTAAGAACTTTAAACAGTTTGTTAACGTAGACAAATGTGGTAAGTTAAAAAAAGTGAAATATGAAAACTTTTTTGAAAATTCTTTTACTCCTTGCTTCATTTTTTCCCTCTCTACTTCAGTCTTTAAAAGAAATTTATGTAGGATATATTACGAAACAATCTCACAGACAGTCAATGACATATGCTTTCTTTCTGCTTCATTCTGTTATTGTTGTTGTTTAAATGATAGATAAACGAGTGAAGGAGAAGAAAAAAAAAAGAAGAGATAAAAACTTAACACTTACTTTCATGTGTGAAGCTAATTCATCAGCACTGTTGAATGTTTTTCCACAGATTCCAGTTGTGTCAGGCCAATTACAAATGTGTTTCGACGTTTGACTGGATGCAGCAGCAGCCATTAGGTTTTGATAAGCTAGTTGCGCTGATGAGCTGAAAAATATAAGCTCAGAATAACAAAACGTTAATAACGTTTGCTGGACATATGGAAAGATTAATTATCATTTACGGATAATATATTTGCAATTACACTGGAAACAGCAAATAACAGCGGGAAAAAAGTTTAAAAAATTCATTTATAAGATAATAAATCAGCATGTTTTTTTCCGTAAAACGAAGACAAAAAAAAAGCACATATAACAAATTATTTAAAAACTAATTTTCTAAACCCTCCTTCCCTTTCCCCTTCATCCCTCTCTCTCTTCCCTCCCCCCCTCCCCTCAGAAAAAAGAGCTTAGTAAAATTTTTTAGATACATGAATTTAATGGGAGAAAAAACTACAATTAGAAGTTCTTATTTCTCCTTCTTTCAACAAAAAAAAATCATCTCACAACATTTAGGCTATCCTCTTGTAAAGTATATTAAAGCATTGATTGGAAAATGAAGAGGAATCAAAAAATGCCAACCTTGATGTCGGGGGTAATGTCACCGCACCAGCTGCCATCAGCGGGTTGTAGGAAGTAAAAAACGGCGACGAAAAAGCTGTTATCATATCAGCCGGTGTACTGACCGGACTATGCAACGAACAGCTAACACAGCCAGGTGTTGGACAAGAACGAGGCATCAACGGACAACCTTTACAGGTTGGATCCGCACAACGTAAATAGGAGGTTGGTGATGGTGCTGTTGGAAAACCGCTGGGAAATGTGGGTATCGCCGAAAAGCTTGGCATCATCGGCGGATATTGAAACATTGGAAAACTGCTGCCCAGCGGTGGGAATGCCATTGGAAAAAAATTGGCACGCTGATTAAGCATCATGTTGGTGGGCAATGGTGCGGTACTGGTCGACGGTTCCGAGGTAATCGGTGTTTTCTTACCAATCACCGGACTGTGTGTGGTAGTCCGCGGACTCTTTGAATCTTCTTTCTTCTTCTGCAATGGACTTAGTTCGTCCTTTTTGGATTCACCAGATGTGGAACTGGTACTTGGACTATGACTGCTGTTGTTGTTATCTTTCATCTTGTCTTTACGACTCGGTGTGTCTGGTAATCCAATTGTTTCGCATGTTTTTGCCAACATTGCAAGTGGTGATTTACCAACATCAACCTTAAAGCAAAAGAAAGAGCAATAAATATGAAGGGAAGAAAATTTTATCATTGAATTAAAAAACTGTAAAGTTTTTAAATGAAAAAAAAAGTGCTTTTGTTCTGTACCTTTTTCTTTCTGTTGATTACCGATAACAATGATATAAAAGAAGTTCAATAAAATAAGATAAATTCTGTTGAATCTCTTTTTATTTCAAAAAAATGTATTACAATGTAAAAATTCCTAATAAAAAAAAAGTACTTTTTCATTTTTATTTAATCGTTTATTTCGTAGACAATGCCAGAAGTATAATGGTGAAGTGGATAATCACATAATAACACAAAATGCAGCAATTAGTTTAAAACAAAAAAAAAAAAGCGATTATAGTGAGGAGAAAAAGAAGGGAAACTTTATCACTGTCAGTTTGTTACCAGAGATTGATCCTTTCTCAGTTCTTTGTTCTAATTCCTTTCATCTTACTTTCCATTAATTCAGATCTATCAAAAAAAATTATCACAAACTAAAGTTTTTGTAATGAAACAAAGAATAAAATTCGGAAAAGAAATAATTGCTTTTAGTATTATTACATTACTACAATAGTAGAAAAAAAAACAACCTCCCTCCTTAACTTAAGAATAAGTAAATAAATTGCCTTCTCTATTTGATGACCAGTAAATCTCTATTAAACAAAAAAAATTACAACTGAAGGAAAAATGACGATGACGACGACGATCGTGATAAAAGCTGAAAGAGTGATGGCAGTAAAGAAAACTGGAAAGGAAGAAAAGTCTTTCCTAAAATGTTCAATTAATTTCCTCCGTTCCCTTCTTTTCTCTTTTAGGATAAAAAACCTAAAAGATTTTCACTCAGTTGAACTTTCGACATAAAGACACACACAAAAAACGTTAATAGTGCAAAAGAATTTCTTAATTGTAAAAAAATATGAATTTTCAAGCAAAAAAATTTCCTTGGTGTTTTTTTCCAGGTCCGAAATCAAGAAGACATAAATAAAAATGATTTTTTTATCTCTTCTGCTCCTTCCTTTTTCCCCTTTCTAAAATAAAATTTTTGCGAATAAAAATATACCAAATAAAACGAAATAAAGATGGATAGATTTGTTTTTGCGTAGATTCTAGAAGCAGATGATTGAAAATGAAAAATTGCTGGCATTTTTCAAAGTAAAAACGACAAAAAAACCCATCAAGAATCCTTTCTTTCCTCTTCTTCCTATCCGCCAACCTCCCTTCGTATTTTCTTTTTCTCTATCATTCGTCCTTCACCCCCCTCCATCACATTATCCGGTCTTTCTCCGGGCCAGTCCTCAGCAATTTCCATAGCTGTACCCGCCACCGGATTGACACTCAGGTATCCCAGAATCTTTCTTAACACCTATATCAGTTTGCAACACAGCTCCAAACAAATCAAAGTATCCCCCTCCTCGCCTTCCCCTCATTCTTTACACCAAGATTTCAACAAGATCCAAAAAATTATAGCGGCAGCGATGTTGTATGCCAAATTGTTAGTGGCTGCCTGGGACGGAAAGGGCTTTCAGCAACGTTGGAAAGCTTGTTGAAAGAATTAGTGGGAGGAGAAGAAAAGGAAACAGATGAAGAAAAGAAATGAACATCAAATATGTCAGATAATAACAGTTATTAAATTGAAACTGTTAATTGTCATAAAATTTTCGGTTGACTCACCCCAAATTAAACTCCCAGAAGTATCTCAGCAATCAAAATCAAAACCAAAAGAAAAAAAAAAGAAAATTCCAAATAAACGTGGAGAAAAAAAAGATTGCTAAGAGAATGAGGGGAAAAACCAGTATTTTTTTAAAAGATTAGTGGCTCAACCAGACATTTTCATTGTTGTAACTATCACTAATTATTTGTTACGTTTTCTCGTCTTCAAAAAACACATCGATATATAGTATTTAACGCCTCATCAAACTGATTATAAAAATACTGTCAAAAAATAATGATAACATGTTTTGAAAAACAACAACAAAAACCAAATCACTACGATTTTCCCTCGGCCTTTTTTTCCCAAAACCTAACTTCAAACTTACACATACAAATCTTTTTTCAACAACTGAAAAAAAAAAA